ACACTAGTCCTTTATGACTAGGGGTGGGGGTGGAAACAATAATCAGCTAAGATTAAAACACTATTGTAATGAAAAGTTCAGAATCTTGACCTAACTAGTCTAAGAGAATGTCACTAAGACTCATCAGAAAAGGATGACTTGGAATAAAAGCATAAAGAATTGAATCCCTAACCCTCTCCACTCCCCACTCCCATCCTGCTGCTTGAACGTGCTCAGTAAAGGAGTGACCAGTTCTTTGATCTCTTCTCTTTAAAAACAACTAAATAGCTCTTGTTTTGACTCCGTAATTAAATTTTTTCCTTGTAACAGGGATTTCATTTCTATACTGGTGACTGAGTTGGGTTTTAAGGAAACTGATAATGAAAAAGACATTTTAATATATCTTCTATTTTATAATATTTTCCAGTATATCTAAATTTAAATAATTTCATGGATGTCCTGACTTCTTTCCATGAGTAAAATTTTTCTTTAATCAGACAGGGTCTATGTACACAGGCCGAGTAAATTAGCTCCCGCCTCACAGCGCCTGAGAAAATGAATTGCTTAAGAAGATTAGAGTCATTTTCTTTACTTAAAGATATTCCTGACAACCCACACTGAAATTACACAAGATTAACTCCATTAACACCATTTCCCATTCTTTAAAGTAGTAGCTTTCCAGAAAGCAGCATTTAGACTGAATAGTTCAAAGCATATTTTAAGAAGAGATCTCAAAATGCTTAGAAATGCTAATATAAGTATCATGTAAGGATTCAGAATGAGGTGCTGAGAGGTCAAGTAACATATTATTGGCCGTATAGTGAGCCATACGTGAAATGGAAAGACACTGCTTGTTTTTTTCCTTGCCATTTAGTCCACATTCTTTTTGCAGATGACATTTCAAATCAAATATCTTAAAGGATATAACACTGTTAATCCCTCAAAGGCACGGATATTATCTGACTTATTTTGTCTTTCCCCACAGTATTTTACAGAGTGCCTTTAACTTAGGGACACTCAAATATCTGTTGGTTATTATGTCAGGCATTTGGCATTGCTTGGTAGCCTATCAAAAATAGGTAAAGCAGAAGGGCTTAGGAAAAATAGACTAAATACCATAAGACATCAAGCTATCTCTAAGAACCTTTCTGAATCTGAAAGCAAAATCCATATCACAGGCACTAAACTTTAAACTATTTATATTAACTGTCATTAGTGCCATTAAAACATATAATGCATATTTCTCTCTGGCAGTATGTTGGCATAAGCCACCAGAAGAACCATTCTGAAAATAATGCAACTATAATCCATCAATTCTCTTACCTTACCTTCTCTAAACTGTACGTATTCGTCAAGATTTTTAACTGTAAAATTAATACACAAATACATTCTTATTTAAAAACCCAAACACTTCAGAGATAAATAGAGAAAAAAAATGAAAAGTCCTATTTTCTTACTCCAGCATCTTCCTGCAGCCTCTTCTCCTATCCCTATGTTATGTTAAAACTCTGTACTGTTAACCTGGGGCTTCACTTTCTTTTTGGTCTCCTAAGGTAGTTCCCAGGTGGGAAATATTGAAAACACTGACCTAGATAATTCTTAAAGATCTTAATTTGAATGAATTGCTGAATTCCCAGATTGAGAAAGTGTTTTTCGCTTACAAAAAAATAAGTAAATCTAGGGGCGCCTGGGTGGCGCAGTCGGTTAAGCGTCCGACTTCAGCCAGGTCACGATCTCGCGGTCCGTGAGTTCGAGCCCCGCGTCGGGCTCTGGGCTGATGGCTCAGAGCCTGGAGTCTGTTTCCGATTCTGTGTCTCCCTCTCTCTCTGCCCCTCCCCCGTTCATGCTCTGTCTCTCTCTGTCCCAAAAATAAATAAATGTTGAAAAAAAAATTAAAAATAAGTAAATCTAAAAGTGTGCTGAATTATACTTACTTTATGCAAAGACAGTCAGATCAGATCTCAAGGGGGAAGTCATTAACCAATCTACCGTAAAACTTTCATCAGCACGGTAATGTAACATTAACTATCATAACACTAGCTGGCACTGAGAATTTACTAGATGCTAGACACTGTCGTTAGTGTTTCAGAAGATTTTCTAAAAAAAGCAGAAACTCTCTCACCATGCTTTTTCAACAATACTACTATTGTGCCAGGTACCATCTAAAATAACCTCCTATATGACCTATGATAATTTTGTCTATCATTGTGATGCGAGTCCCAAAGTATTCTGGAAAATAACCCAAAATGATTTGGGAATTTCCTGAAGGATCTGCTTTACTTTTATTTTAGTCTCAGAATCTCAAAAGAAATCTTGTTTCTCTCAAGACATGCTCCAGTACGTCTATTAATCAGGAACAAGTAATACTGAATCGGTGGGAATGAAAGTCATTAACAAAAAAACGTGTTTTCAGAAGGCAAATATTAGGTAGATAAAAACAGTACTGATCCATGAAGCATAATCAAGTTTAACCACACACTATCTTGTTTGACCTTAACTAGGTCAGTAAACCACTCAGATATATTCCCATCTTCTTTTTTTAATTGTTTGTTTTAGTTTATTCTATTTTTTGAGACAGAGAGCAGGGGAGGGGCAGAGAGAGAAGGAGAGCGAGAATCCCAAGCAGGCTTGACACTGTCAGTGCAGAGCCTGATGTGGGGCTTGAACTCATGAACCATGAGATCATGACCTGAGCCAAAGTTGGATGCTTAACCAACTGAACCACCCAGGCGCCCCTATTCTCATCTTTAAAATCAGGGAAAATACCACCTACCTGTAGGTTGGATCTATGGATTAAAATGAGAAAAGTGAATGTGCTGGCACAACAAACCCTCAATAAATGTTACTTGAATCAGAAGCTGCATACGACTTGCAGTTCAGGGTAAGTCACAAAAACCTCAATTTGTTTCACCTCAGTAATCCTTATGCACTATTGCTCAGTTTCAAGAGCAACCTAGAAAAGTAAAACTAATTCAAAGATTATTCTTCTGAAGGCCTGAAATGCTCAGGAGAACTGCAAAAACCTAGGTGACTGGTCAGCATATGGTCCAAAGTACATTCAAGGCCTTAAATGAAAAAAAAATTCACATGTCAAATATTACAGGCATATAAAATAATTTTCTACATGAACAGTATCTGAATACATTTTATCGTGACTTGAAATAAGTTCAGTGATTCTTTCTTTACATATGGCCAAAGTATTAAATAAATAAATAAAATAAGGAAGATAGCTAAAATTATAGTGCCATCTACAGGCAAAGAAAATAATATCAATGATGGCACATCTTAATGCTTTCATAGTTTCTAATTGCAATTCAACATATAAGACACCTAGAGTGTCACAATTTGCATAATTCATTTTCTGATTACATTTGTGGGATATAATTTATCATGAGATGAAACATTTTTTCTAAATTTTTTACTACTTAATATAGCATTTTATTTTCAATAAATATTAAAATGATAGGAGCGCCTGGGTGGCTCAGTCGGTTGAGCATCTGGCTCTTGATTTCAGCTCAGGTCATGATCCCAACGTCGTGGGATCAAGCTCTGTTTGTGTGGAGCCCGCTTAGAATTCTCTCTCTCTCTCTCTCTCTCTCCCTCTGCCCCTCTCCCTTGTTCCCACTCTTTCTAAAATAAAATTTTTAAAAATTAATTAATTAAAAAAACAATGGTACTACAACCTCCAATTTTTGTGTTCTGAGATCTGTTTATTATTAAAATATATAATGACAACAGCACCTGGGTGGCTCTGTCGGTTAGGCATTCAACTTCAGCTCAGGTTGTGACCTCATGGTTCATGAGTTCAAACCCCACATCCGGCTTTGCGCTGACAGCACGGAGTCTGCTTGGGATTCTCTCTCTCTGCCCCTCACCCACTCTCTCAAAATAAATAAACTTAAAAAAAAAAAATACTGAAAACACACCCTGTTTAAAAAGATAATATATGTAATGACAAAAAAGACACTTATTTTCATGTTTTTCTCTTCCTTTCCAAACTTGAATCTGTGGATACTTATTTAACAATAACTAAGTACCAGGTATTTTTCCAAGGTGCTTTACATATATGAACTTGGTATGGACTCACTTTACATATATGAACATACATGAACTCACAATAATCCTATGAGGGAGGTATACTACCATTCTCGTTTTATAGATGTTGAAACCAAAGCACAGAAAGCTTAAACAACTTGTCCAAGGCCACATGCTACCTGGCAGAGCCAAGGTTCAAACTGGGGGAGTTTGTCCCCAATAACTGTACTTTTAGTCGCTATGCTAAAGTGCCTCTCTTTGAAAGAGCTGCATTCAGTGTTTATACTGCATTTGTAATGTCTATCTTCTGGTTTTGAGGGGCAACATTTTTTTTCACATACCTAAAACCTTTATCATCATTTAAAATAATTTTTAATAACTACATGTTTTGCCATCAAGTTGATACATCTCATTTTATTTCGTTATCTAATGCTGGACTTTCAAACTATAATTTCTTTCACTCTGTATAAAAATGTTATAATGAGCAAGTTTTGTGTTGCATGTAACTTTTTTCCTTCTTTTGAATTTTATTTCCTTATGCTACTATACCCAAAATAGTTTCACTGACTTAAGTATATAAAAGTGCCAAATGCTGACATACAATGCTCTATGCTGCTTTTTAAATGTCACCATATTATACTACCAGCAATGAAAGGATGCTAGACCTTCAAAACCAATATATACCACCACCACCCCAAATTTAACTGATATATATAAGTGGTTAAGGATGGTTTACGATGTGGGATAGTTGAATATTTCAGTTTTCAAATAGGCAAAATGTTTTCTTCCTCTAGCAACATAAAAGGTGGAGACAATTCTATTACTTGTTGCTTATGAGGTTGTGCTGTCCTGATTCTTTAGTAAGTCTCAAAAAGAGTCAACAACATACCCAAAGTGACTTGTAAGTGTCAGAGCTGGAGTCTGCGCCCAGATCTGTCTGACTCTAAAATTTGTTTTTGATAGTAGAGGATAGTTTTGATAGTAGAGGATATCAACATTACTCCAAACATGTTTTTTTTTTTTACATGTTACCTTGCAGTATTATATGCTCTGAATAGTCCAGAAAGATTGTAAACTTTATAGCACAGAATAAAGGTCACTGAAACATTAGATCATAGAAGGAACATAAGCTTTGCAGTCTTAAATTCAAACGCTGCCACTTACTAGCTCTATGTCCTCTGGAACATCAGCATCAAATTCCTAGTTCCTCAGGATGTTTTGTAATTACAGGAGATAACAATTATAAAGCTCCTGGTAAATGGTAGATGCTCCAGAAATTTTAGCTCCCTCTCTTCTAAAGAATGACAGATATGATTAGATCAAGGCTAATGGTTCTAAAAGTCATGCTTCATTATCTCTCTCAGACAGACCGTAGCATAACACGAAGCATCAAGATCAAAAGAGATCAAAAGAGATAAAGTTGCTTCATCAATGTGGGAACCTTCCATTTTGACATCAGTATCATGTTCTTCCTTTAGTTGGTATGAGACATTGTGGGGACATTTCAATATCTGTCTATAGCATCCTGGAACATTCAGTTTCAGAGTAGGTACTTTAAACCTACATGTCTGCAGTCCATCTCTGCTAAGTATTTCCTGGTACCACTGCCCTACTTTGTTCTTCGGGTATTGAATATTGTATCCAAGCACTGGAAGAACCACCTGTGTAGAAGGGAAAAAATACAGATGAAACAGCCTTCAGAAAAATACATGATCATTGTAACACTGAGATTTGGTATATGAAATAATCCTTGAGATATGATCATTATGTCTCAGGATATAAACCTCACAATCAGCCTAAAACATGCTACTGACCACCACACCACTTTGATTATTTTAAATGCTGCCAGGCAGAGAGCTAACTAAAATCAAGAAGGATTCACAATAACCAAGGTAACCAACTCAAGTCAGATACTACTAGACAAACTATTGTTAATGCAGAAGAGAGGAAACAAGAAGTTCTGGTACATTTAATTAGCCGACAAAGACTTAACCTCAACGTAGTCATTCAATCCTAAAAGCGTATTGTTTCTATAACACAAAGATGAATCCCTACTGTCCAATAATATAACTGGTATTTTGGCTGATGATGTTACATTCTTCTTACTTATTTAAAAACATGAAAGCGAACCACCAGCAGCATATACAGCTGCTTATGCCTTTTGTAAGGCTCTCCTCCTTTGCGGGTGATTTCTAGACATTTTTCTTGAACTACTGGTACCAAACGGTTAGTCAGAAAAAGGAACAAGGTAAAAAATTCAAATGCACACAACATGAATGGATTTCAAATTAATTATGCTAATTGAAAGAAGCTAGACACAAAAGGCCATATACTATAAGATTCCATTTGACATTCTTTCAAAGGCAAAACTATAGGGACAGAAAATGCTCCTGCCAGGGACTAGGGGTACGGGTTGACTAAAAAGGGGCACAGGGAAATTTTAGGGAGAGATAAAAATGTTACTTTATCTTGATTTCTGTGGTGGTCATTAAGCCTGTATGTGTTTATCGAAACTCTTAGAATTGGAAACTGAGAAGAGTGAATTTTATTGTATATAATTGCACCTGAATTAAAAAGTAGTTTAAAAAAAAAGGAAGGTAGAGAAGAAAACTAATCAACATTTTGTCTTTTGGACACAATATATCAATATCTACATTTAGACCAAAGTGATGCCAATTCTTAAGCAAATTTACCTGATGTATTGCATATGTGTTAGCTGATTCCTCTTCTTCAGTTACTAGATGAACCTATTTTTTAAAAACATGACAAAAATATGGATGATTCATTCCCTCAATTTTCCCTGTTATGTATAATTCGACTCCCATGCTGAATATACATGTACCCAAACAAGAGTATGTTCACAATTTGTTTCTAGACTGCATAAAAATTAGAACGCTTCCTGCTTTAACCAAGTCAAATTGGAACACGTAGAGAATGGAGGTAGCTTAACACTCTGAGGTGATAATTTCACCTTATCACCAACTTTTCCTGACTTACAAAGTTGTTACGCTGAATCAAAACTCCACTCTCTGAAACCACCACACCCCCCGCCACCTCTGTCCCCAACAAATATCATAATACTCTCCGAGAAGTGATGTTTCTCAAAACATGTTTCACAGAACAGTAATAAGAGGCAGGGGAAAAAAAAGAGGTATGTGGTAAGTCTGAGAAATGCTGCTATAGGACACTACAGAATAGGTCATTCTGATTTCTCTAACATATGAAACTCAGGTATAAAGGCAGCTGTCATCACTAAACAAGGATGAACAGGACCCCCACCTTCCAAAGCATTTATCACATAATGTAGTGTCCAGATCCCCTCTAACTCTGCTGGCTTTCCCTTCAAGTCTGCCTACTCTAATCAATAGATTAGATGCTTCCCTTTTCTGTTTTTCATTTTGGGTTTGTATGTTTGCTTATTGGTAAGTTTTTTAATTGCTGCACTCAAAAATGGATATAAAACTCTAGATGTGATCTGACCAAATCCATGGGATGAGGGTCTCTCCCGCATCATCATTTCCAGCTTTTTGTCTTTCACAAACTCATAAGTCTATGAAAATACCAGAAAATGTGGTCAAGTACAGAAGACCATGTTTTGTGTTTGGAGAACTCCCTCCAGATTGATATCAATCAATTTTTTGATTAACAAACATACTTTTGGTGTATGGTTACTCCCCAACTATGAATTCACCTAATTTTTTAATTAATTCACCTAACACATTTCTCTATCTTGTTCACAAAAAATTATAAGAAAATCTACCTTGTGACTTGAAATAAAGGTATATCTGTACCTGTCTAGTAATCCTATCAAGAAGGAATCACAATAGTGTCCTATAGTTCCCTACAATTTTTAACTGTAGATGCACAACATGATATGCCCCATATACCATTTATTAGAAACTTGATTGTCTTTTTCTTTTCATACGTTACCATTTTGGATCTGTAAGTCTTGCTTTTTCTTTTCTTAGTACGTACTAATATAGTATAAATGATTGGTCTTACAATATATAAAGACTTTTAGTTTTTTGCTAATAGAAGGAAACTTAGCAAGACATGAGGAAGAAAATGTTCTCCTTTCTCTTACAGCTCCAAAAGAAACGCAGATACACTTCTGATCCTGCAACTCTCCTTACAAAATGTTACGTTGAACAAAGTCCTATAAGACTTGTATTTCAGAGATTATTACCATATCTTGTCAAAGTAACCTTTAATATCTGAAAATCTGAATTAGTAACGGCTAACTTACTAAATAATGCGTAGCACAGGTAATATTTAAAAGAACATGTTTCCTGGAATATGTGAAAAAAAAACATGACTTTTCAGTATTTATAAAAAGGAGATCACTGATAGCTCTTCTTCCACTCACATGAGGTAAAGTAAAGCCTATAATGCTGTATTTCTTTTTACACAGTTTCAGATGTTGTCTCAGTTAAATGACCATTCTTAGTGATTTATGCTCCCAGTAATCCCTTTCTTGACTAAATATTTATAAGCCACCCACCCATTCAATGAAATAGTGAAGCAGACATCTGTTGCTCTGGCTTATTCAGCCTTTACTCTCTCTTTTCCAGTAGTAGCACCCTCATTACCAGGTCGCAAATGTGATTTTTATGGGGTGGTTCCAGGAAGGATCCTTTGGAACATAGGCTTAGCCAATGACATACTCCAGGCCACAATAATTGGTTTGGGCCTGGATATGGGACCCAAGCCTGGTCACTCCTAGCCAGAGAGACCTAATCCCATGGCTTTTATTCCATGGGGGAAAAAAGTCCTCTTCTCTACAAGGTGGTTTTTTGTTTGTTTGTTTTTGTTTGTTTTTGAGTCACATTAATCTGGGTTTTTGTTTGTTTGTTTTTTTAATATAATTTATTGTCAAGTTAGCTAACATACAGAGTATACAGTGTACTCTTGGCTTTGGGAGTAGATTCCCATGATTCATCACTTACACACAAGAGATAAGCTTAGAGATGCTCATGACCATCTTGCCACTAAAAGAATGAGCCAGACTCAGAATGGCTCTAACATAGGAAAGCAGAGCTGAAAGATGAAGAAAAGAAGATAGAGATTATTTAAGAGACTGCTTAACCTCTGGATAGAGCTGCGCCTGAATCAGCGCCTTGGTTATGAGGGCCAATGAATTCCTGTCTGCTTTGCCTTAAGTTAGTTTGAGGTGGATCTCCATTACTTAAAAAAAAAACAAAAACAAAAACAAAAACAAAACAAACAAAACCTTAATTCATACATCCAGACTGTGCCATTAATTTAGATAAAGTTTCCTTTACATAGAGTTCAGAGTCTGTCTATTTTTCTTCCTTTTTGAAAAACTGGCCCATGTTCTCTCTAGATGCAGACACCTTTTCTATATTCCATGATTTCTCTGCTAGGGACCAATTCAGGCTAGGGTCTTTTTAATTCTGCTACCTATGTCACTTAATCTGTCTCCTCTCCAATTTGGGTCTCGATTTTCATTTCTACAAAATGGGAGTTAGGAAAGAGAGTCTCTAAAACCCTTTTCTCATCTAGAACTCAATGATTTTATGACGTTATATATGAAATTACTACTCAAAATACCTTCACTAACTTTTATAACGTATTTCTGAGACTGACTTGAGATAATGTTATTTTTGCATTTTAATTTATTCTTTGCATTATATATAAAATAAATTTCTTTACTTGACTTATATAATTCAGTTTCATTATTTTAACTGTTCAAGCCCAAGATAAAAATACTAGTTGGACAGAGAAGAAATGGAAAGAGAAACTTTCCATTATAAAAATTTTATAAAATTTATATTATAATTTTTATAATTTATAAAAAAAGCAAGTTGTAAATGGCAATTATATAAAATCACATTTATATAAAATACATCCAAACATTACACACCCTATATACCATCATTATAAAAACTATATTTTTTCCTTTTCATATTTTAAGTTCCGAGCTCCTAAGCCCTGCCTTTGCTTTTATTCATGTTAGCTAATAGAATAAAAATACACTTTTCTATAGATATTTATGTGAAAGCATAGAAAAAGGTCTAGAAGAACATATATGAAAAAAACAGAGGTTGATTTCCTGGACACACAATAAGAGTGGTGGCAAGATGACAGCTTTGTATGTAAAGTTTCAATTTTTCACTTTTAATGGCACTATTTTGTGCATTACTTCTGTAATTTTTTTAACGTGTTCTTTAAAGGAAGTTTTACTACGTTTGTACCTTTTACTTAATACCAGTGACTATTTTTATCTTTCTGTTTACAGATAGGTGTTAAGCCTCAGTTAACAGCATAGAAGCAGAAGATAAGCAAATAAATACAAGCGAAAAAATAAAATGTGTGTTTAGTGCTAAATGATTTCTAAAAACGAGCTTCTCTAATATTCCAAGTGTAGTAACAACTCTTTGAAAACTTTGATGAAAGGATACTTACTTTATTATTTGGGAAATGTTCATCGTCAACATCTTCACCCAAACAGACCAAATCACCCTCTACTACTCTTGACCCATAGGTTCCAAGTCTGTAGGATACTGCCTCATTCCAAATTTTACTGCTATATGCATGAACGTAGAATATGCGCATAGAATGGGGAAAAGAGAACCACGCCTGGATACAACCCTCCTCCGTCATGCCAAAGCGATGCAGTGACTCCAACAATGCTCTCTCTCGAACTTTGAATTCAGGCATCAATGAAAGTGTGCCTTTAGCATCCTCTGAAATAAAGAGAAAATCAGTGAGTCAATCACTTTCCTTTAAAGGCCAGTTATAAGTACCTTTATTATGCCCTCTAAATGAGAGGCAATGAACTGTGTCATCTTATAAACTTGAATATGAAGATGATGCTTATTACCAACTATAAACCTAGCTATACCTGAAGAGTTTGTTTGTTTAATAAAGATCATTAGTCATATAGTCCATTCTCCATTCATTTTCCCTACTTTAAAAAAAATAGCAAAAAGCACATTAGTAATACCTACTTCAGAATGGAGATAAACTAACTGGAAATTATTCAGAGGACCTCTTTTAAAAAAGGCATGAAATAAACCTGTGAGCCTATAGATTTTTAAAGAGCTATTATGAACACTTATATAGAATATTTGGGATAAGAAAGGTTGGATCCTTCATGTATGCTAACAGGCCTTGCTAATGGGGTGCTTTTTAAAATTAAATTGATGGACTCTACTGCAAAGAGGCTTATTCAGGTAGGAATCCTCATTTTAGTAAATGTGCCACATGTTGCTCATGCACACTGAACTGTATGAATCATTGCCGTAAGGACATTATGTTCTCTGGACTCTAAATAATACAAACACATACGTCATTTCGAGAGTGAAACTCCATGTAGATTGACTCTAGAACCCATACTCATAACCACTTTTCTTTAGTGCTTCTCATTAAACATTCTGCATTATAAACCATCACATTGGGCTAAAGTGTCAAAATTGACAGGGCTGTATGGCGACTAAGCCCAAATCAATGCACAAAGTTTTGGATACAACAAATAATACTTTTATGTAGTTAGTTTTTCAGTCTCCCCGAATTGTAGCATATACTTCCATCAGTACCAGTTTAGAATTTGGAATTCTTATCTCCTCTGAGGGTACAGACCAAGAAAAACTAAGAAGCTATTTCTCCCCTTACTCCTACCCCCAGGCAAGAGTTAAAACAGACAAGAGTTCTGGATATTTGGCCCAAACTAAAGTGTCTTGGGCATGTAATAAAATTATTAAATATATAACATACTATAATCTATTTCCTATCACATTTATGTTGCAATGAATGCCCGCCTAATGACATACATTTATATTATAGATTTGCATGACTATGTATGGGGTAAAGAAACTTTTAAATACCAGTTTGAAGAAAATATTTCTTTGCTCTGTTTACAGGATCATCCAAATCTTCTGGTGTAAGAAATAATTTTACAGCCTCCACCTTTAAAAATCAAGCAAGCAAACATAGTAAATGAAAATGACAAATTACTTTTTTTAAAAATGTTTATTTATTTTTGAGAGAGAAAGCATGAGCAGGGAGGGGCAGAGAGAGGGAGAGAGAGAATCA